TATATATATATATATACATATATACATATTATATGAGCGTATGACTGGATAATTTGATAAACTATAAGTACAAGTAAGACAAGTGTTACCTCATCATGATGAAAAATCGGCGCGCGTCGACGAACTACACCGACCGCTAGGAGCCGCTACCGCGTCGTTTTCGGATAAAACAACATACACACACACACATAACACACTTCCGTTGTACATTGCATTTAACAAGAGAGTAAACTCTTTTTGTAAACGTACGTCGCACGTATTGTGCGTGCGTGCGTGCGACCACGTAGTCGGCGGTAGTGGCTGTCCGGAAAAAAAAAGCGCGTGCGCCGCTCATTGAAACCCAGCTCATACAGACATTCATTTTTCCATTTTACTTTAAGTCTCTCATTGCACCGCATCAAATAAATGACATTTTCATTATATATAATCGTGGAATTCTCATTCTCCGTCTGTCTCTTTCTATATGGGCTCTATAGAAGTAAACCAACCCACTTGCCCAAAAGTTCATTTTATACTCCGTCCCTGGATTCTTAGGTCCATCGTCCGACTCCCTGCAGACGACGCGTCTGTTTCCTTTATTTTTTCTTTTTTACGCGTCCACGTGTCGTCGTTACATCGCATTACGCGCACACGAGTCGTAATTGAGGAGTTGAACTTAACAACAGCGCAAAGTCGTCGATTCATCGCAGCTATTATCGCAGCAACTTCCGGTATCTCGAGATTCGTGTTTGCGATCGTTTCTGGGACTTACGAGTCGCCGAAACTCAAGATTGGTCTCTCCCACTTCCCCCTCTCCCACCTTCTTGTGTTGTCTTTTTGACTAATTGAATTATTTTCGGATTTTGGACTTTGAGCGAGCCTAATTTTTCGCGAGGCCACGTCGAGCCGCCGCGAACGTATTCGACTCCTCGATTGCGGGATTCAGAGTTACTACGCCGCCGCGTGCGTTTCAGACACGCGGGACGATTCTGGAAAAATTCGAAATGATCTTTTAATTTTTTATTAATTAATTTGTATATCTAATACTATTCTTACTAGTATTTAGCTGTACAATAAATTATAGTATCTAAACAGGATATTTTCTAACCCTAAGTATACATACTTCTTTTTTTATTTACGTAACATATTACGTACACACTAGGGGACCACAAACATTTTTTATGTCAACGTCTCAAACCCCTCCCTTTCCAATTTTCGAAATGCCAACCTGAGGAAATTTGGCTCCCGAGCATTCTTAGTGTGTATATCTAGGGTTAATATCCAAATAATATTCTGCTGTGTGAAGCAGCACAAGACTAGTCTCTCGAATACACGAGAGTAGTAGTCTCCCCTGAGATGAGTCTTCGAGAACGGAGTTTTATTGAGAATAACATGTACAAATAGCGCGCGGAAATTGTTTTGTTATATATATACATATCCTAACAAAATCTATACCGTTACATATGTTGAGCGACGGGCGGTACGGAAGGCGTGGTGTCCCGAAAGCATCGACATCTCTCCTGAGACTTCGGCGTATCCGGATATCTCGGTGGGACATCCTGCATGGACGCCTGGCGAACATGAGAGTTGCAAGTTACACCAATTTTCTGGGCTATCTATTGATTGTTCGGATTAAAGAGAAATGTCCGGACATTTTTACAAATGTGCTGAATCTATCACGAGTGCCATTTTATGTATATATTCTTTTATTTCCACATATACCGCTATATATTTTGGTATGCTATTTCTCGCTTCTGACGTTATCGGGCAGGGACAGCCAAAATGAGGACAAGAGCTTCAAAGATATAGGTTTATCTATGGTCGTGATATCGCGGTAAGTACACGGGATACGTGTATGTGCGTATATGCGTTGTATGAGCGCGTGAGTGTATCGGACCACACATCCTTATCGTAATCGGCAGATTGTGCCACGAATTTACCGAGATTCGCGTGAATATGTATAAGTGCGTGCGTGTACATGTGTGTTTTCGTAGCAGGTTCTGTTATTAAAATTTCCCAGTCCAACATGAGATCCTTCGTCCCTTTTGCAACGTGTGACCGCGCGTTACATCAGCAAGGCCGTCAACTATTATAATGCTTCTTAAAACTTAAGGTTGGCACTTTCGAATCATCATAGGAACAAATTTGAGCCAGGATTATAGGACATTAAATGCAAAGGCACCGAATTGATTATTTACGCTGTCTGGATAATAACGCAACGAGTGATTAACGTACCATATTGTAGGGAGACGTGTAGAGTGGAGGGGCGCCACATACTTCGCTGTACAATGGTGGTCTTTCCCGTGAATCCTCGATGGTGTTGCAGTACGACGTACCATTCAGCTCCTGCTGTACCCTGAGACACCTGGTGCGCGCTAGTCGCCTTGTCCTGCACAGAAATATTTGCATTATTATACTTGCGCAAGACGTGTAACTCGAACCGATCGTCCGATTTTGGTCGGATTTATCGCGGTGGTTCGATTCACCGTTGTGGAATTAAATTATTGCCTTTATACGGCGAATTAACATTTATTAATATTAGGAGATGTGAATTCACACGAATTGCGCGTGCGCGCGCTTACGTTCTCGTACCTATTGCATAATTTGCAGTACATTAAGATCAAGCCGGTGATACCAAGCCCGAATAATATGGAGACGCTGATATGCGTCATTGTCATCAGTTGCCATTCCGCACTCCTGAAATAAATTTCCGCTGTGGATTATTTTCGTTAATAGTTTTTCGATATTCGGGAATAACAGGAGATAATTATAACTAATGCTCCAATTCCAAAATCTGTGCTTGGGAGAGAAAGACACGCGGAGAAAAACGTTGGTCAGCAAAATTGGTTAACGGTGCTATAATTGGAATGTCTTCTTGATTCAATAACAAATATCGTTAATACATCATATGTACTACAATATATTGCATATAATACATCAGATCTTAATTTATCTTTTCACTTTATGCGCTATTTATGTTTTTAAACTTTAGAAAAATATAGCATGAAAAAATGTACAATGTTCCTTAGTAAAAGTTTACTATGTTACACTAAATTATATATATATATATATATATATATTTATTTATTTATTTATTATATATTTATTTAGCAAAATAAACTGACAATACATTCCTGAACCTTTAATAATTCAAGTGTTAGTTTCAACGAGAATCTATAACAGGTGGAGCAAGCTTTTAGTCTTTTGCTCTAAGCAATAAAATGCAACGTAATAACAATAAAAAATGTAACGTAATTTCTGACAAAAAGCGTTTGCCGCGCTACCAGAAGTCGTAATGATGCTTAAATTTTAAGAATTGCAATGCCTGGCGGCGCTGGAAACGCTCTTTGCTAGAAATTATAGCTTAGAACAAAAAGCTAACGGCTTATTACACTTATAAGTCCGGATTAATATGACTTTCGAATCAAGAAGGCTTACTTCAATTACGACGCTGTCAACCGATTTTACATTTTCTTTCCGTGCAAAAATCGCGCAATAACGGAACGTACGAGTGGGTAAGACGCTCGCGATTCTTACCAACAGAGAGAACAATTGTCGCAGAGACAGCATTCTTCATTCTTTGGACAATAAATTATACATTCGCCTTTCGGTCCTGAAAGGATAAAGTGTTATTCATGAAGAGCGATGGGTAGAAATTTCGAAGAGTTTTGAGAGAAGAAGAAAGAACAAAAAAAGGCTTTCGACAAACTTACCGGTATTTTCCAAACACAAGCACGACGTGTTCGGTTTAACGTTACATTGGGTGCAATTTTTGGGCCAGGTTTCTTCCGTGCTGTTATATGCGTAACACGAATCTGTTGAATCACATTGGGCGTTCGTACATGTATTATTTATAAACGTGTAATATATCAATAATATATCTGTAATATTTTACTGTAATGCATAATATTTCCACGATATTACGTGCTATGTGAGTTGATATCATCTTGTTGTTTGAGTCATTATTGTGACATTTCAATGTTTTATATATATATATATATTTTTTTTTTTTCGTGTAAGTTTTACCTATCCAACGCTATATAATCTTCATATTTTAAATTTCAACATGTACATGTTGAAAATACAGGTCTTCTCAAAATAAGAATATTCTTTTTTCCATGTAGCGTTGTGCACAATTTAAAAATTGCTCGTAGCGTCGTGTACAATTAAGAAATTCTCTTTTATATGCGCCTAGTTCAATTTGAAAACGAGCCTCTCAAGTGCGAATGCACCCACGTACCTATACCCGCGGTCGGAGTTATCACCATGTAAAGATATAAGTATCCCAAAAAGAACGGGTTCATGATGTCACATCTATGTACAGATGAGCGAGGGAACAGTCGTGCCGGTGTGAACGTGATTACGCGAAACGTCACTTGTGCTAACATAATTCAACGATGCGAGTTACTGGCGCGACGATCATGCGGTTCCCGCACAGGTGAATATACGCGTATCATAATAGCGGCGCGCGAAAAAATACTGTCGCAAGAGCGAGCATATCAAATGCGGCACACATCCACCTCCAAGCCGAGTTCCGACGCTGTACTGCGTACAAAATCAGATATATGAGCCGATATTACCAATCTTATCAATATAAAGTCTGATAATGTATGTAATCAACAACATGAAGTATTTCCTTATATTGATAGTCATTGTGACTTTTCATTCTGAATTTTCGCATGTGGACACTTTTGCGCTTGCAAAATGTATGTCATATTAAAGGAATATTTTGCATACGCACGCACATACACACACACACACAACATGCATTTTTTTAAACTTGCACATGAAAGGATACTGCAATAAAGTGTTCATATTGAAAAAACATTTCCTATAAACGCGTGATATAATTTAATATTAAGTAATATTTCTGGAATATATTAATAGATGGTTCATATAGCATTCTAGGAATATTACGCGCTTATAGGGTTGATTTTAATTGCAATGTATTGCATAATAATCAATATTAGAATGTTCTATACTATGTACATATATAAAGCATATATGGTAATATTTTTCTTTTTTCTGTTATAGATCATCTGAAGAAAAATGAAAGACTGTGTGTGTATGTGTGTATGCATACATACGTTGGATCAACGATAGGTATAGCAAGCCTTTAACTCTAAATGTTCTAAACATTTAATCATAACATAATTTCCAGCAAAATATGTTTCTAAAGCCATCAGACAGTACAATAACCTAAGACTTAAGTGTTATCTTTATGATTCTTAACATCACAAATATCTTACGTCAGATTTCATACTTTATCGCTTAGAACAAAAGGTCAGAAATTCAGTATACTTATCGTAGATCCTGATATATATAGCAGATGAGAGGAAATAAAAGCATAGATATCACTTGTATATATATATATATATCATAATACTTATTAATAAATATTTATAACCCAAGGTCTTAACAACTCCCGATGAATGTGCAATTTACAGTGGAATTTGCGGAGTTGTGTTTGCAAGAGAGATCGCTCACACAGTCCTGTACAATATTAATTAGTTAACGTAATTAATGCTTCTACAATATTTCCTCTGTGTTCCCTGAGAGTCTGTTCCGCCAGGTTCCGATTGATCTCCATTTCTTTCATCTGAAAAACAAGTATTTCTAGTAAGCAACAGTTTGTCATCTGTAGGTTTGCAAGATATACGACATGTGTGGCGATACTCACAATCAAGTCAACATCCTCCTTTCTGATGGATACTTTGAGCAATTCCTTCTCCTTGGCCTTCTTTTCCGCGGCTTCCTTATTTCGACGGTCACCAATTATACTCAGTGCCTGTTAAACATTTTTTTCATCTTTATTTTTCTTTTATATCCTATTTTTTATTTTACGTTTTATTTTTTTATTTTCATTTTATATGTAAAGATTAGATCAGATAAGTGTATAGCGCTGAAATATACAACAAAATTAAGCACAATCAGTTGTGAATAGGTTATGTTCAAGTTAGCCGTTTCACGAGTCAAACAATGGATCTTTCGCAGTTTTTATTATAAATTTTTACAAAATATCTCACAAAAACAATATCAACTGAAAAATTATCTATATAAAAGCGTTAGTTATCTTATCTTTCTTCTAGATAAAGTAAAAGCAAAATCATCTTCGTCCCATCTAAGATGGATTTTTTGGATTTTCATCTCGTCTTTGGATTCGCTTCGCTCTCACATGAGTAACAATGAACGCAATTACTCGAAGCAACGATTTAAGGCGTGCAGTTCACTTGGTTTCGCGCGGAAAAACGCAAGCATCAATATCGTCCGGAATCGTGAGGCACGTGTGTATACACAAGTTACATACTTACGCATGAAAATCCATCGGAAGAGGAGATCTCCTTCTCCTCGGCGTAATCCGTCACTTTCTCCAGATCCGCCGCGCCGCTGTCATATTTCGCCGCTTTCTTCTGCGATTTCTCCTGCTGCACATCATCGCAGTCTCCGTTCACATCGTCATCCGCCATTTTTAATTATTTTTCACGCGGGATCTTCGACTCATGTATGCATATATCGCAGAGGTGCAACAAATTTGTTATCCCGCCTACACTTGCTGCACTTTCCGAGCCTCCGGTACACGTGGGTGAGTTCGGGAAGCGCGTTAAGCCCGTATCAGACTACAGATTGTGAACGGAGATTGAATTGAATTTGTCCAATCAATGCAAAGTTAACTAAACTCAAGTTTAGTGAAATTTAGTGAACTTTGCATAGATTGGTCAATTTTCAACTCAATCTCAATTCCCAATCCATAGTCTGATACGGGCCTAAAGTTCTTTAGTCTGTTCATTTTAACTACATTGTTGAGACGGTGCAATAAGTTAGAGCGAGACAAAATATACTTGTCTCATGCTAATTTATTGCACCAGCTCAGCAATACAGCTAAAATAGAACAGACTACTTCGCTTAGCCTGCAAATGGTGTGGAGAGTTTGCGGTTAAGTGGCTCAAAGCTATAAATGAGTAAAGTGAGGTGAAGCGAAGCTCCTGTGTTTTATTTACAAAATTGAGCGTCAAATTTTTACTTCATGATGGCTGGCGAGGTAATCGTCGACGCATTGCCGTACATCGATCAAGGATACGATGAACCTGGTGTGCGAGAAGCGGTAAATTGTCCGTTCTCTTTAAAATATAATCCAATAATACAATGAGGTTAGATTGGGGGTTAGGATTGTTAAAAGAAATTACTTAAAATTTAGGCTTTATAAAGCGAAGTCTACAATGAGAATTTAAGCTCTAAACCTTAAGAAATTGATAAATTATAGTCGAATTGTAAAAGAAAAATAAATTATGATTAGTCAATTTCTCAAATCTTATGTTTAAAATGTATTTTCCTGTCTCCTCGCGAATTCAACATCGTCGTATCCCAGGCATTGGCGATGGTCGAAGAGGAAACGCGACGTTACAGGCCGACAAAGAATTACTTGGAGCATCTGAACCCTATGAGCATAACGTTCGAGACAGCGGTGCTGAAACATGAGTTCGAAAGGATGCACAGTCGTCTACCGATGGAGGTACTCAGTATGAAACGCTACGAGCTGCCGCCACCTCCGTCCGGCAAGATGAATGACTTGGCCGCGTGGAATGAAAGTGTAGAGAACAGTAGCGCTCAGTTGGAGCATCAAGCTACCAGGTAGACTGGAGTTCTAATAATTATCTCTCCTTTCTCATCATTTTTACAGCATATTGCTCGATCTGCTTTTCCAGATTGGTGGTGACACCTTTATAGTCTATGCAGATTTCTTTCTCAATATTTAAATTACTCATGTAAATGTGATTTTCAAATATATACGGCGCAATCCTGCTGGCGAGTCTTCACTCTTATTTCATTAACATTATTGACATATTACCCCACGTACCATCGAACAATTGCAGAATCTGCAATCTGGAACTGATGATGGAGTACGGATGCGAAGCTTGGAAGTCTTACCTGAACGTGCTGGTGCAGTTACTCGGCCAGGCTCAGAAGCAGCTGCAGATGCTGCGCAAGAAAATACAGGAGGTGAATTGGCAAAGGAAGTCGATGCAGACCCAAGGAGGCGACAAACTGAGGGCCCTCGAGGCCCAATGGGTCGGTTTGGTGTCGAAGAATTACGAGATCGAACAGGCGTGCGTGCACTTGGAGGAGGAGATACAGAAGGTGATGATGAACAAGGAGGCGGTCGAAATCAGCGACGTGCCAGCGGACGAAGGGCCGGACATGCCCGGGAAAAGTGCTACGGAAACGATGGCGCTGCAGATGCAGCAGCAGGAGGAGCAAGAGCAACGGGATCTCTTGCTGAACTTTTGAAGTTCGTTATCTCGTCGAGTGACGATCGAGTGACCACGAGTGAATGTGTTNTGTGTTAAAGCCGGAAAAGTCCCTCGTTCGTCTCAGCACCGTCGTGAAATTATAAATAATTGTTAATCTAGTAGTGTGCATCTCGCTCTGTCGATTAAGCAGTGATCTACCGCCGTTGTACATATGTATATTGTCAGCATTAAATCGAGTATGATACATATGTACAACGGCGGTAGATCACTGCTTAATCGACAGAGCGAGATGCACACTACTAGATTAACAATTATTTATAATTTCACGACGGTGCTGAGACGAACGAGGGACTTTTCCGGCTTTAACACAGTTCGCGTTTTCTTGGGTATTGACACACTTGCACACGTATTGCGCGTAGGCTCAGCTGAAGGTTTTATTTATTTACTTCGTTAGGACGTGTTAGCAGCAGGGACCCGGGCTGAGTGAAAATATCGGTCCGCTTTCGGTTCGCTAAAATATTCGACGGTTTCAGTTTTTCGATTCCGGTTTTCTGGGCAATGAAAGTACCGATACCGTTTAAATTATAGTTCTTTTCGGTTTCTTAAATTTGTTTCCTAATTGAAACTTTTATTGAATTATATTAAATATATATGACGTGTATGATAAAAAATAATATCACTTCCTCCCAAAATTGTGATATATTACTTCTATTAATCCTCCTCATTTCGATATCGTATGCTTGAAGTTAATTTTCTATTTGCCGCGATAACCGATCAATGTGATCTTTCTTTTTCGTAAGAATTAGAATTTCATTATGAAATGAAAAAAAACGACTATTTTAAATCACAGAATCGAAATGATGAACCGAGAGCAACCATAAACTGAAGAAAATTTAACGGCTCCAGTTCGGGCCCCTGTTAGCAGCGATATTTAGTACCACGATATAATTACAAAGCGAACAGCTAAGCGTTTAATCTCTCTCTCTCTCTCCCCCCTCTTTTCTCTCCTCTTCGGCAGACTATTCGTGTGTAAAAAAATATGTGAGCTCGCGATCACCGTTTTTGCCGTTCTACGTCTGATCCTCGTGGATTGAACGCGGCAGAGAGACCGTCGAAAGCGATCATCGGATTATAGGCTTGCGTTGCGCGTCGAATGCTCCGTCGTTTTATTCATTCGACTGTCATAACGACGTCTCGCTGGCACCGGAACTTTGAGACTGAAGCGCTATGCTTCCTTTATAACCCATCGACTCCTCCTCCAGCAGGGTTATGCGTTGCTTCAAAGCCTTCACCTGCGAACCATGACAAATTTATGAGTGTCGCTCGTTGTTCTGTACTATGCAATTCGTTGAATCTACGTTAATATGATAAAGTAATATAAAGTAACGGCTGATTAAATATTTAATAGTATTGAGTAATAATAAATAATATTTTTATTTATTTAATGTACTATATCATAAGAGTGTGCAGTATTTCTTAAGTGTAGTGTAAATTCTCGACGATGATGCGTAATATTACTTTCTACGAATCTTTCGATGTGACAAATATAGATAAGGATAATTGAAAACTTGTTTCCCTGATATTTCTTAGTAACGAGAAGATATTTAATGACTTTGAACACGAGATGAAGAAGACGAACAGTCATTATAGTGGTGCGTGGTCTTGCCAAAAGATTAATAATAGGATGATATATACTCAAATGGCGGGGCGACAATTAATCACTATTATTAGGCCCGACCGTAATATAAACAAGCGTGCGCGCATTTGTATATGAATAGAGTGAAACAGAAACAAAGTAATATCAAATAATGTAACAGAATAATATATATAGTTTGTTTAAAGATGACACACTAACATTGATGTACAGTAAGTTATGAAGGTTTTATCCCGATATTCACTGCCATTACTGAAATTCTATAATATACGTAATATGTATTACAGATTTTCAGCATTAGCAATGAATATTGGAACAAAGGAGAAAAATTATGAAAAAAAAATTGAAGAAAAGATTAGTGACATCTTCAGCGCTCCTGGCGGATTCCAGATTCAAAATCTTATGTTATAGATAAAGAGAGAGAGAACAGTTTGGTAGAATCCGAGTTTACAAGGAAATATCGTTTTGTGGGAGAGTGCAAGCGCTTATTTTCGGATCAGTTTATATTTCTAGTTCGGCGGAGAAAATTTGTACGCGTCGACGGTGCGCAGGCGCGCGCCTGCGCGTCGCGAATAACGCAAGATGGCAGTCGCGAGTAGAAGACAGTCACGCGAGTATCGCAGGTAGTTTCGATGTTTTTTAGTCCGAGATTACGGCGATTCATCAAGAAGTGGCCGGGCGAACGTTATTTCGGCGATTTCCGATTCCTGCCGATATTCTTCGCGTTAGGGGCGTTGCTGGAGTTCTCTATGATCAACTGGCACGTCGGCCAGGTTAACTTCTACAACGTATACAAACGCCGGAAGATAGAGGAGCGGGTGAAAGAGAAGCTGCCCGAAGCAGACTGATATCAAAGCGTAAAGCGCTCGATCGCCACGATGCCTGTTGGAGTTTCGTGGCTGCGGTATCTCTCATTCACCGGGGCCTCGCTCGTATCGATGATGGCCGGCGCACAGTGCGTCCACATGTTCTACAAGCCCTTGGACAACTTGGACGAGCTCGTGGAACAGAGCCTGAAGGAGCGACTAAAGGTGCAACGGGAGATGGAGAAAAGATCGTAGAAGAGGTTATAGCTTGTACCCGATAATAAATTATTATTCCACCGGATCTCTTTGGTGTTTTTAATGCCGACTCTGATGTTACCGAATGTTCGCGCAGTATGAACACACTTTACTTATACGCAGTGTTTGCCGGTATCTAGATAAAATTACTTAAATAATCGTCCAGATGAATAAATAGATCATTTTTATCTTTATCTAGATGGGAGAAATACAAAATAGATTCATCTTCATCTTAGATGAAAAAACATGTCTTTAAGATAAACACTGCTTATACGTGATCATACCTGCGCAGCATGCCTCTCCACCATCCCTAGCATCTGCTGCTCTAGTTTCTTGAGCCTAGACTGGTACTTCTTCTTGGATTTCTCCAGTGTCTGAACCAAGGCTCTGGGGGGAACAGACAAGCGACGCTTGTATCTTTATCACAAGTATATATCAGTGATAGATTTGTTAATAAGGCTGGCCAAGGGAGCCTTAAAGAGAATATCCGTAATGATATATTAATATTTGCGCATGCGACGATTACCCGTTAGCTCTCTTCAAGTCGTTGACGAGCTCGGCGGATTGCTGATGTCGCAACTCGGAGTTCTTGTTAACCTCATCTAAAGTGGAGATCAACTCTTGCAGGCGTTCCTTCAATCTCGCTTCCCTACCCAGAGCTTCGATCAGTTCAGATTCCATTCCTTCGCTCTCATTGTCGCTCAAGCCACGGTCCTGTTATGTTCTCGGTTAATCGACTTGAAGAGAAAAATTTCCAGAAGGTATTCATAGTCCGATTTCATATTTAAAATTGTCTTAGCGTTACAGCATCTTCAGGTGAATTTAACATGTGTTTAAATTTAAGCTCAGACTATATATAGATGGTTTTCACACAACCTATATTAAATATAAGATCAGGTCTTGAGATGATCTTAGCCTGCGATTCGCTTAATGTTGCAAGTGCTTCGAAGCGTTTCTTATATACTTGATGACATCATTATATAGCCAGAATATTTTGGAGCGTTTAAAGGACTCGTCTTTAAATTCGCCTTAAAATATTATATAGTCAACGAAACGACCTTTTAATCCTAGTCCACAATAGGTGCTTGAAGCTCTAATCTTAAGAAATTTTCGTCGGATGCTGAAGTGATGTGTCGTTAATGATTATTTTTCGAGTTTAGGCAAAAGTTATTATACTGAGGGGATGAAAGGTCTAGAAGAATGTTGGGCCAAATGTATTGAGTTGCAGGGAGACTACGTTGAGAAATAAATTTCATTTGGCTCAAAGAAATGTTTTTTTTCTCAGTCAGATCCGAAAACTTTTCAATCTATCCTCGTATATTAAGATCATCTAAGTTTATTTTAAAATATTATGTAATCAATAAATCAGTCTTTCTTAACACTTTACCACCAAGAAGCCTATTAACAAGCTTTTTACCGGCGATTTTTATTGGTAAATAAAATGTTCAGATGAAAGTGTAAGATAATATTAAATATAATATCGGCCCACGTATGTATATGTATGCATATATATGAATAGCGCTGTAAAATCGCTTCACACGCGATACCTTGTTCGTCGCCATTGCGAGCATAGTTTCCGCGTCGCTGAGCTGGCCCTGGAGGTGCTGTATAGTGGCGTGCTGGGCCGCAATTTGCGTGTCGCGCGCATTCAACTTCAGCTCTATCGTGGCACGTTCCTTCTCCAGAAGGAATACCCTCGCGCGTAACTCGGCCTTATCCTCCCGCATGGCCATCAGTTCCTGAAAAACATTTATATTTCCACGATATAGAATCATCCTTCTTCCTCTGGAGCCTTCGTACAGATACAGCGGATATCGACCTGCATAAGCACGGCGGTCTCCAGGTCGAGTTTCCTGGCCTCCGCCAGGGAGATGGTGTTCTTCGAATTCAGAGGTTCGGCGTGCACGCTCTCCAGCTCGACCGCCGTCGACCTCACCATAGTACGCTCTCCTTTGAGTCTGCTGATGTGCCGCCTGAGCCGCTGCTCGTCTTCCACGCACCATGTTACCTCCGACCTGTTGAGGAAGCAATTGTATAACATCGACGACGTTGCGCGTGAAATGCGAGATCTTCATCTCTTGAGAGATAATCTTGCCAAAAAAGGAAAAAATATATATAATCTGTTAGGTGTTGATTCGGTGCCCTTTTTTTTTTTTCATGAAATTCAAAGATTTATTTACAATAAGTCAAGTACAATGTTTGAGATTATTTCCATTATTTTCGATGACTCGACTCCATCTGTCGGGCAACTGACGAATGCCCGGTAAGCTACAGAAATATGCAATAAAAAGTAGGAGTTTCCATTTAAGAAATTGAAGGTGTCCTTCGTGTGACTTTCAAAAAGAGACTATCAAAGGTCAAACCAATGGCACCACCTTACGTTCCTCTCCAAACCGTACAACTTTTGTATGGAGACATTTTTCTCCGAAATGCACCGTTCAAGAGATATTTGAAAGCGTCGTCATTTAAAATGGAACACCCTGTATACTTGGTGTGTAAGACACCATTGTGTGTGTTCCTCGATACATACTCATCCGATAAGACCATGCTGTCCTCCCAGGGCGCGGCTAGCGTATTAGCGCAGTCGTTTTCGAGTCTATTCAGAACGTGATACGCGACGTTCTCGGCGGCCCTCCTGTTATCGATCGTTACGCTGTTTCTCTCGGTGGAGAGCGCGATCTCGCTCTCCAGCAGCGCTACTAGAACGTCATAGGCCTCGATGGCGCGATCGCTGAAGGAGAGCGCGAGGCGTAACGCCGTCGCGTTCGACTCGTACTTGCCCACCAATAAACTCAATCTGCAATTGCAGACGAGGAGGTCACCCGAGAGAGACCTTTCACTCTCGCGTCCGTCAACACGTTCGCTACCACGTGTCACACACACACGTGTGATGCACCGATTTTCACGACGAGACCGACCATCAAGTATGCGTGACTGTGATCATTTTTTTTATTCTGCCCACGTAAACAAATCAAGTCTTATATTTGATGTGCTTGTTCCAATTCTTAAGTATTTTTTTGGTTTCCCGTCATTAAAAAAAAAAAATAGCGAGTGAATCTATATTTATAATGTCCCTAAATAATAATAATAAATCATAATAAATCATAGAGCAATAAATAATAATAAATCATAGAGCAACCGATAACATGCTATATTTGGTTAATAAGAGCGATATTTAATTGGGGTCTAAATGGTCCGAAGTGATCGTTTATGTAAAAAAAAAATAAGGTGATTATTGTCGGGTTAAAATTACGTTCATAGATGATTACAAATAATATTGGAATCTTGGGAAATTGGAAACAACAACAGGCTTTTGAGCCATCATGTAAAGGTGGTCCAAAAAAAAATCCGCTATACAAAGTGGTCTTCAATGGACAGTTTTCCAGTTGAAGGGTGGCAGCGAACGTGTTAAAATTTCGAAAAGAAAGAAACGATGAAGAACGTACCGATCGCATTGCGCCTTGCTTTCGTGAAGGGTGAGCGCGAGTACGGCGTTGTTAGCCCGCGCGTGCTCCAATCGACTGTTCAACCGTTCCGTCTCGACTTCGAACTGTTTCTCAGAGCCGTTCAGCTCCTGCAAGTTCGACTGTTCCAAGAGATCCGACACAAGATGCTCGGCGACCATAGTGGAGCATACCTGGAACATGTTCAAAACGTGTGATCGCGTCGTCGTCTCGTCGGGGAGTAAAGTCAAGAAGCTAAAACGACGTTCTCCGAAGTGGAAATCGCACCCCGAGATTGGCGATATCCGGCCCGGTGATGTGCCTCTCGTCCGTTCTTCTCAGTCTCACCCTCTCCGCCATCTTCAAAACCGGCGCCTCCTCCCTCGTCACGTTCTTCGTCGGTGGTGTCTGCAGCGGCGGCAGGAGAGGCGAGCACGGCGCCGTCAGAGGTTCCGGTGAACTGTTGTTGCCTCGTGTCTGCGGAGGAGAAGAGATTGTGCAAAAAAAAAAAAAAAGAAAGAGGACGAGGCGAGGGTTTGCTGTATTTTGTCAAGATTCTCTCGCCTTTGTTGGATTTCACGATATTGTCTTGATTGAATGTCACGGTTCTCCTATTAATTTCTCGTTAAAACGTTGTTTTAGTAAAACGATTTTTCATTCGAGTAAAAAGGGCAAACAAAATTTATACAAATATATCTTCGATTCGCGTTTCGCCGAGTCATTCGCGTCAATATCGCTCGTATGCTAGCGGGAATCCCCGCTTTTTGCTTACTCTGATCTCTCGACGAGGCGAATCGCTACCCGTTGTTTGCCTCTGACTGCCGGTCTGATTCTTGAAATGAGCCAATTGCGCCTGTAAGCTCGCGATCTCCGTTCGTAGCGCCGTGACCTCCTCCTGTAGCGTCGCTACGGCGACGCTTTGACACGAGGCCGCTTGCTGTGTCGGCTCCGGAGTTGGCAACGCGGCCGGACTGTCCAGCTGCTCGTTCTGTTGCACGACATACGAATGGAATTAGGGTCCGCCACGTATACAGTGCGCAGTGTTTGCCGACATCTAGATAAAATTATCGAAATAATCACCCGGATGAACTTTTCGGATTTTCAACTCATCTTCATCTAGATGAATCTGAAATCATCTGAGGCAAACACTGACAGTGTGTTAATTACTTTGTCAACGAATTCATCGTGGGATTCCTCCCTTTCTTCCCCTACCTCCGCCGGTCGATTCTCGTCCTCGCAACAACTGGAGTCCGCGTCGCCCAAGGTGCGATCGCCGTCCCCTTGGATGTCCCCGCCGCCTTCGCTCTCCTCCACCGGATTAGTGATGGAGCCCTCGGCATCTCTGCTCGTCTCGACTTCTACGCGCGTATCACCGAGAACAGAAAAGACGAAAAACTACCCCATTGTCACGTCGAACGATTGACTCCCCTCCTAAGTAAAAGTTAAACCAGTTTCTAGCTAATAACTCTTAACCATTTAACCAGCACGGTTAAATACTGCCGTAGGTCTCCCAAGTCTTTCAGAATTTATGTTTAAGTAACATGCGAGGTTTCGAAGGCCTGGTATGTTACAAGTGGCGAGAACTTACTTATGGAAGTCGGGAGAAGCTCTTCTATCGCCAAGGTCGATGGCCAATTGAACGGTAGAGGAATAGAAATAGAAAATAGGACATAGCAGCGCGGACAAGATATGGGAGAGGGGGTAAGTGAAAGTAAATGTGTGCAGGGTTCGCAAGCCTAGAATAGTGATGTCAGGGTTAACCTTGGACGCCCTTAGGTGCTGTTCGGCAAAGACACCTAACGTCTTGATTGACGACGCTTGCAGTTTAAGGGGGATAATGAATTTTAGAATCATTTATTATTATATTTTATATTATTTAGTCTTCAGTTAAGGGAAGAATCGGAACGTGCTGTCTCCTCTACCTTGCTTTTTCGCGCACGGTTTCTCGTGAGCAGTTTGTAGTCGAGATTCGGAGAATCGAGCTCTCTCTCTCTCTCTCTCTCTCTCATTCGCTCTGCTCTATCATCCCCTTCGTCGGAAGCAGCCGAAGACAGAATCTGTTCGCGACGCTGTCGGTGGTATGCGCCGCTCTTCGCGGAACCCTGAGAAAGAGATCGCTTTCTTCTCGGTATCGAGAAGCGCGAAAGAGAAGAGAGAGAGAGAGAGAGAAAGATCGAAACACAGCAAGGTCGGAGAGCGCGCGCTTTGTTATCGAGAGATGGCTATTACTATCGTTATTGTCTGAGTCCGGAGGAGATCATCGCTGATTGCCCGACAGGAATTGTCGTTTCACTTCCCTCCCCTCCCGGAGAATTGACCGTGGCTTTAAGACCGCCGTCGCCACGAGACATCTATCTCGCTTTTCCCTCTCTTGAGAGTGGGTCTCGCGAAATCGGTACGCGGAATCGAGAACGACGGCGTCGTCGTATACCCTTACCGGATTCGTCTTCCTCGGCAATTACAGTGGCGCGATGCCTCTCCAGCTGTCTGCCGAGCTCGGCGATGACGGAATGCAGCTCGGTGAGCCGCTCCTCGTGCCGTGCCGCCTGCTGTTCAGCCCGCTGCTCGGCGCGGGCCGTCTGCACCTCCGCCCTCACCAGCGCGGCCTCGGCGGCCTCTCGCGCACGGGTTGCCGCCACTAGACGCGAGTTCAGCTCGGCGACCTCGGATCGCAGCGAGGAGAGCGCCGCCGCGTGCAGCTGCAATAGGGAGCGTGCGTGAGAGCAAATTTTCATCTGAGATTTGTCGAAACTTCCGTCGCCTCACGAAGACAATCATCTTTAATCTCTGCTTGAAGGTCGCTTACCGAATGTCAATGATATCCTGCGGTCGGATTTTAAAGAGAATATCTTACACAGAGGAAAACGATTGGTGGAATCGGTGTTCGAATGTTTTATCTACAGAAAGAAATAACTTGATCTGATGAAGTAAGAGAATAATAATAGTTCTGTTTTGTCGCTCTTAGACGGTGTTGGAGGTAACATTATAACATGGATACACGTGTAATTGTGTATGCCGCAGAAGCGAGGTCGTGTTGAGCTCATCAATGCGAGGCGCAGAAATAGCGCGCGGGAATTTTACGCGTGAATCAACGTCTCGTGTTTGTTCCGATTGCGGTCCGGTGACGTAATTCTGTTGAATAATTTAATATCGCGGATCGGTCGGCGGGATCACGCTGTTATCTCAATGGCAAGATCGAGCGGCGCAAATCGCCAACGTGCACGCGCTATGCTCGTCTCATATATAATCGCGATCATCTCTCTTTCTCTCTCATTCACACTGACGGGACACATCCACGGATATGTGAAAAAAAAACCTGTCCTTCTCATGCGCAACCGTCCGTGTCGAACGTTGTGAGACGTTAACGATCGCCGGTCGCGTAATTACAGCGCGACGCAGTGGGAGGAAACGAGGGGGCGAGTGGATAAGAACGCTGGACGCGTGGCGATTCGTGGCCATTCTTCCTGTGGATATCATCGTCGCAGTGTGTTGATTCCGACGGAGGTGTGAATAATTTCGAGCTTGTGCGGAAAGAAGTCAGGTAAAAATCGCTCGACGAGTCCGCGATATCGCCGCGAAAAACGTTGGGATTATCGAGAAATTATTTGTGCGATTCTGTTAGCAATAAAATCGCAAACTACTTTTTTCATTTTTCTCGCGCATTTTTTCATATTACAAGTTTATCATTCGAGCACAGTGTAACACAAACCTAGTGCAAATCTGCACAACTGTGAAAATAAAGAAATTCGAAAAGTGGCGGGCTAACTTCTTACAAGCAATTCGACGATAGGTAAATCGGCCTTCTGCGCTGTCGATCGACGATGAAGCTAATTATCGCCTTGATGGCCATCGCCATCGTATTTTCGGCTACGGTCACGGCGCAGGACGACTACATTCATCTGCCCGGAAAAAATTGTGTGGAGGCGCCGCCTTGTCCGGACGGGAGAGCTTGCGTGATGGCTAAACCTCGTTGCAACGTTGGTACCTGCGGCACGGATCTCGTGCCAACGTGCGGACGAAAGTCATAGAGGGGAACGCGCGACGTACATTCATCGTACGGTTTATATCTTCATATTTTTACCGTGTATAATAATAAAGAGCATTAAACAGTTTCTAGCCAGTAATTCTCTGACCAACTAGTTTCCGATCAGTTTTATTGGCAAAAACTTACAAGTTTGGGAGACTTTTGCTTCGACATTAACTGGATGGTAAAACTAGTCAGTTTTTCACCAGATCCTAATAAGATTTTGTCGAACAGTTACTGTCTAATTAATTCAAACCAGTAAAAACTGTCCGGTTTCCGTCTAGTGACTAGTTTCTCCCTAACATTTTTCCACTCGGGCGTCGTCGTAACGAACGACGCAAGTGCACGCGTAATTCGAAAGCGGTCGAATCTTTCGCAGCGAGAACGTTTACAGAAGCCGTGATCCGAGATGAAATATTTGACGTAACCGCGGTGTGAGGCCTCGCAATTTCCGACGTTTCATTCACAAAGGGTCCTCTCTCGTGCTTGGTTAAGGTCAGGGGTGTGTGTCGGCCTAGCGCAAACAGGGGGGACACGACAGCCGCAGTGTAATTCAAACAAAAAGCAATCAAGGATTCAATTACAAGGCCGCACGGCTGGGCCGCTGTTGCGGCACGGCAGTTCGCAGTTTCATCGTCGAGTAAGCGAGCGAGCGAGAGATTCGATTACCGAATCTCGGCCCCGGACGTCGCCGGGCGTCCGATCGCGGACAAATTAGCAATTAGGATTAGACGTCTCCGCGCATTCTTCATGCTCGAGCGATAATAACGGGCGAAACGCGAGGAAAAAATGAGACGGCAGATGTCCTTCCTCGCAGAATTCGAAGAAATCAGTTTTTCAACGGTCACGGTTAAGAGTTCTAGTTGTTCCAGTTGTTCGAAATATTATCGTTTCAAAAGGACAATTCCCTAAGTCGGGGCGAAAAATAAAAAAATGTTTTCCGACAAACGAACTCCCGGGCCGAGATAATTTTCCAAAAATAACTCCTTTTCTTTCTCTCTCGTTCTTTCTTTTCAATTCCCTCTGCTTTGTGGAACTCCGGGCGAATCCCGACAACCCTCCAAAGGGCCGCCTCGCGGAATTCATTATTCGCGAATAGGCAACCGCGCTGTCGGATTTGTCGGGGCTCTCATTATGACTGACGTGCAATTTATCGAGTGAGAGTTCTTTTGTGTTTCCGTATTCGTATGACTGACGCGGTGACTTATCGCGCTGCGCCGTCTCAAAAGAGCGATTCCCATTCGCCGAGTATCCTGTATCGGAGTCGTTGACAGGTTTTCCCGGCAGCGATGACGGCGGCGCGCATGCGACGTCGTACCGCCGTCACGCAGGGCAAAAAGTCAGCGAGGACGGCGATAAATCAGCCGCCGAATCCCGCCACGTCTTCGCGACAAATACGAGACGGCAGCTACCTGGGGTAGCGACACGCTTTATGTATCTGGCAAAGAACGTATGAGAAAAAGAAACCACCCCGGTTAAGTTGCTTCGTTTGGAAATACTACTTCACCGAAAACCGCGTTTTTCTTTCAGCAGTAATCGACAAAACAAGTTACAAAAAGTGTACATGTACACGCCTTAAAGAGGGGGCATGAGATTTTGTACGCAACGATTGAAGTTTAATTTTCCGTCGAACTTTTTTTCTTCACACGTCTCACATTGTCATCTACATTCGTCTCCCCGCGGCATCGTCTCATTACCGCGGTGACGAAGAAAGCGATGAAAACTTACTGCATTTTGCTTGTTATCGGCCTCGACCTGTATCGGCACGGTCTTATCGGCTCGGCGATCACCGGGACAGCAGAGCCACGACCTAGACCTGGTGAGTCCTTTCGGCTCCTCCTCCTCGTCCTCGGCCTCCTCATCTTCCGTGGTGGCGCAGTGCACGTAGACGAGGTCGTCGCGGCGCGACGGCGGCTCCAGCAACTCCTTCGACAATACTGGCACCACGTGACCGGCAAGCATCTGCACCGGGTAGCGCGGCGGCTGAAGTTGCAGTTGCACGTGCTGCCGGTGCAGATGATCCACGTAGTAGCGCGGCTCCGCCGAGCCATTGTTTACGGCTACCGCGAAACCCGCCACGTTGAATTCCGAGCCGCTGCCTCAGCTCCGGGAGCTCATTTTCCAGCGCGTTCCGCGCGATATAGCCCGGCCGATCGAGGGACCGTTACGGATCGCCGCACGGATCGGTCTGGGGAGAGAAGCTGCGATCTTCCTTCGCGTGAGCGCGATCTTCTCGCCGATTAATTTATTTTTGATCTTATTCTCCCTCGCCGCGCGGTCATCTGAGATCGCGCTGCTGCTCTTAGGCTGTTCTCGCGGGAGCGGATATTGCGGTTATCCTTCTGGCCGGCGAACTCGCGATCGAACCAAGTTTAAGCGACTGCTTCGGTGTAAGCAACGTTTGCTTTAAATCATTTCAGACTCGTCGTTGATTCGTTCAATATTTTCACTGATGATTTCAATACAAATTAACGATCCAAACATATTTCTAGATAGATTAGAATATGAGGAGCGAGAAAGCGAACGCCGAAGTGAGAATTTTTCCAGTTTTCATCTCCCTTTCGATATCCGGTTTTCAAGCATTTCGTCCCACTGCGCGCGGGAATAATATCACGCGGGGCCGGTTTTAGATAGAGAGATGATATGCGATATATCGCGATACACCAGCGGCATCGATGTTACATCTCGCAAGTGGTATTGATCGACTTCTATTTTCGACTCGGACTACATATATTTTTTGTACTCGCTCGTCGTATTCCGCCGTCGCGGCGCGGAGCTTTGCGCATGAGTTTCAGTCGGCCGGCGCGTTGGAATCGATACTCGTTATCGAAGTGCTGGCCGATTAGATTTTCGAGATTAGACGGCGGATCGAGACGATCCGCTCTCCAAATTTCTCGTGGAGAAGTTACATCCGACGAGCAGAGTCGCTCGAGCGATTTCTCGCTCATGTGGAGTGAATTATCCACTTCGAATATTTCCGTTCGAAATGGAAGCATTCAACTCGCCGGTGAATGAGGAAGATCAAGGGACGACTTTGAACGTTGCGAAGAGTCGCGCTCCGCTCGCTCGCTCCTCACGCTCGCCGGAATCTCGCTCCGGTTCTCGTAATCATTTTTGCGCGCCGCTTAACGAGCTCGCCGCGACGCGCGTTCGTTAACTATTCATTCATTAGTGACTCGGCCGCGGAATGATATCTCTCGCGCGCGGATAGCATTATTTTCGGGTATTAAAGTTTCCACCCAACCCCCCTCTCTCTCTCTCCATTACCCCACCGATCGGGACAATATATCCAGCGCCGTAAACGTCTAAATTATTCAATGCTTTTAAAACACTTCGTATATCGCGCGTGGTTCCTGCCGCGTTAAAGTTTCAAATGGGATTTATTCGGCAGCCGCGAATTTATTTCAGCTACGTTCACGCGTCGATCGATGCGAACTTTTTCTCTCTTCTCCCTCTGTCTCTTTCTCTCCTCCTCTGTATCGTATCCTTCTTCATCCGCAGGACTTCGCGCGGCGTGATCGGTTTCCCTATGAGCGCGTAATATCACTAGAATATTATTAGAATATTGGAATACGTCTAAAATTGTAAGAATATTACTTATTATTACATAATATTACGCGCTTCTAAGGTTACGTAACGTCTCTCCGCGATATTGAGCCGCGGAAAAGAACGAACGTTCTCCCCCTTCCCTTCCTCGTACCCCAATTTTCTTCCATCCAGCGGTCGTTTGTGTCGAGGAAAATTTGTGGGATGCGTGCGGAAACTTCCGAAAACAACTTTCCCCCTCCCCTCCTCGTCTTATTCGCCAGACGCGCAACCTAATTTCGTCGTGGCGTTGTTTTCGCGGATGTTCCTCGCGGCCGTAACGGAGCGTGCGTATAAATCTCTCTCTTTCGCGGTTACAAACATATTTGCATATTGCGCGCTGCGCGAGTTACAACGGCGCGGTGGTATAAATTCGCCCGCGGCGCCGACGCGCAGTGCGGCGAACGCGCCATTTCTTCGCTCATTTGCTTATAATTCCCATATTTTCAGATAGATTAGAGTACGAAGAATAAGAAAACATGCCGAAACTAGAATTTTTACAATCTTCATTTTTTTCTCCGAATATCCGGTTTTCAAGCATTTCGCCGCGGCGGGATGAAGTGCTGCGATGAAACTGGCTAAATAACGAGCGACGGTGAGGCGAGGCGCGGCCGACGCGAGTCCTGGAGTAGATACGAGAACTCCCTCCGCCCTTATACTCGGCAAGAAACCTGCCGCCGAGCCCGTCACGAGTTCGATTAACCCTTTCTTCACACCGAAGCTCATTAAACTTAAATGCGAGTTCGCGGGGATGAAACGGACGACGCCGCTATTCCTCCTGGATGACGTTCTTGCGTGTTCGCGCAGTCACGCTGCTTTATTTCCCCCGGAAATATTCTAAGCGTCGTGTTCGACTTTGAAACTACTGTCCGAACGCTGCGCCGATATGTTTCACGTGTGACCGTGAGAAGCGGGAATTCCGGATAAACATACGTCCGAAAATGTTTTCCACCGGAACTGGAGCGGAAGAAAGAAGGTAAGAATAGAGGAAGTGTAACTTATCGTAACTATCGTGATTATATATATATATATAATAAAAAATATTTCATAAGAAAAACTATGTAACGAAAAATTTGAAAATTTAAAAGGAATTAAGAAACAATAGAAATTAAATTTAAAAAGTAGAGAAGAAGAGAGAGAGAAGGGGGAATACGGATGATACGTGGTCCTCAACACGTTCCTATCATAACTCAGCAGGTTCGTGGCAATAAAAATTATCGCCATCTGAGCAACGGAGCTAGCTAGCTAACTAGCGAGCGAGCGAGCGAGCGCGAGAGGGAGAGGGGGGGAGCGCGCGAGAGCACGACGATGAAATTCCAGCAATTCCGTGGCGCGTAACAAGGCGGGAGTTGCCGCTTATCGGCCTCTCCGTGCAACTCCGTTAATTAAACGAGTTAATTACTCAAGGTGGCGCGCCGAGAAAACCACGTTGAATTTAGGAGAGCGAAACTGGTCAGGACGACGACGACGGCGGCGGCGGCGGCGACTGGCGAACGTTAATTGGAGGTAATCCGTGGCACCATAGATACGTGTTTGCTCCGAAGTGTGAGCTCAACAGACCACCCTCAGATACGATAACCTGTTGAAGTTGCGCCGACCACCTCAGCGGACAATCTGAGACGCGGAGCGATAAACAGTGAATTTCGCGAAATTGCACATTAATTGTGAAATTCTACCAAGTGGAATTAATTGATGAATAACGTAGGAGCTTGCCGGTTTTGCCGACTGTGACGCAAAGGGTTAACCGTCGCTGCCCCGCCGTTGTCGCTGACGTCGCGAAACATTGCGCGTAACTAAGGAGCGATTCGCACGTTCGAACGAACGAATCCGCGAATAATTAATTACTCCCGCATGTGCCGGCGCAGGAACTGGATAAACGCGGCGGGGCACGCGTGCGTGCCCGAGCTCGCGCGTAATTAATTGAAAAATGAGGGGACGAGAGGGCGGATAAAGCTGACACGTCGACGCAAAGTCTCCGAGTGGCGATTAAATAAGGCTGGGTGAAACGCGAAAATTATTCCCGCGCCGATCTCGATACGGGCGCTCGCGACACGGGAACGTGCGAATTCTTTTTTTCCTCGGCTCCCGGATGGAGATCGCAAGGAGGGAGGGAAGGGCCGACCAGATAGAGTTATCGCTTTGCCACGCGAGAGTGGTAATCGATTTAAATACACCGCGAGCGTTGTCCGCGCGCACGCGTACACGCGACTACCTTATCGCTTAAGTGGCTCTTTCTTTGAGCGAGTGCCTGCCTGCTTCCTCTCTCGCTCGCCTCCGCCCTTCTTTAACTCTTTGCGTCACAGTGGGCAATTCTGAAACTCTGACCTCAGATTCACAATCAGCGATCCCGACAATACTAAGATGCCACATTTCACAAAATTCCACCGAGAAATAAAGTATATAGCTCAAGGCATCAATTGCGGAATTACGCTTGCGTGGCTGCTCTGCACGAGAAAGGCCTCCTCCTTCCTCATTCTCTCTCTCTCTCTCTTGTCTTCTTTTCCCGTAAGACGTGGTCCACAAAAATCCCATCAAAGAGTCAAGGAGAGCCTTCTTGGCTCCCGTTTCGCCGTGTCTCATTGGATCTCTCAATTTCCGTCATTCCTATGCAGTTTACACCTTCGCGAACGGTTTCTTTTCCTTCTTCGAAGTGGCAAGGCGGAAGCGAGCGCATGTGAGCGGCTCCTCTCTCTCTTCCTCTCTCTATGTTTACCTATCTTTTTCTGTCTCTTTTTCCTCCGCGGAAGGGAGGATAACGACACCTCGCGCGGAGGAAACTAGTTTATTAAACTCGTTACCGATCCTTGAGTGTCTAGTCGCTCGGTGACATCCAGTTACTTGCTAATTTACTCACTTCACAAAGAAAAGGAGCGACGAGCATGCGAGCGCGCAAAAATTTCACGTCATTACGGATCGTCGCCGCCGAGACGTTTAGCACCGATTAACGGGCACGTGCGGTCGATTGAACGGTCGAGGTCGCGTAATCGCATCCACGCGCGTCCGAATGGTCGTAGTCAAGGTGCACGTGACTTCGGATCCCGAAGTCCGAGAAAGCATCGATGATTTTATCGAAACAAAACCGCCAAGTTTTTCTCCACGAGGGCATTCATCAGCTGCCCGATAGGTGGAGTGAAGCCGCAGGAAACAATGGAAATTATTTCGAACACTAAACTTGTACTTGGCTTGGTTGTAAATAAACTTTGGATTTCATGAAGAACGGCACCGAATTAATTTGTACGCCTATAATAATTTTGATATAAGTCGCATTCGATTGTACCGAAGCCGGCAGTGCCAGCTTGATATACGTGCACGGCGCAGCCTGTAGATCGCTTATCGCGAATGTAAATAAATGTGTCACCGCGGAATTGCCCGGCAACCCGCCGTAAAAACAGCACGAGAATCGAGCGCACACATATCAGCGACCGCATCTAACGATCTATGCTCCCGACTGACGACGATGATCAGTTTCAAATAAATAGTAAATCACTCGTGAACTTACGAACGTCTTAATATTGCCACTGAAAATCGGGCACACTATAGATCAATTACCAAAAGAATAGTTTGGGCTTACTTAGATGGCATATAGATTAATAATAACTAACTTTGGCGATACTGATACTTATTAACTTCTTTCTCTTGAACCTCTTTGAACAACCTATTTTGATGTTAAAACAGCGAAACCGGAAAGTTAAGACACCATCAGGATCAAAAAGTAGGAGTAAATTATATGATTAGAATAAAAATTGAATCTATTTTACTTATTTTAGTTTTTACGCGAAGAGAAATAATTTTGTTGTATCGAAAGTTGCACAGTTGCTGTTGTATATGCGCCACGATAACGATAAAATTTAATTTAGAGAAAGAGGAAGCCTTCCGTTGAGTTTCTCGAGTAGTCGAGGTCCCATTTTGGTCGGACAACAGATGCACCACTGTCGCCGTCGCCGGACCAAACGTGCGGGCCGGCGCCGACGTATACCGAATGACGCCACGGATTTAATGGAAGTTAAATGAGTCGCATTGTTTCCCCGAGCATCGGCCGTCGGTTCTCGCTCTTTGGCAGCGCGCCAGTCGGCGGCAGCGACGGCTCCATGCGAACGGGAAATGCAACATGGACGGACGGAGCGGCGATATATTAGCCACGGCAAGCCTACTTTCAATGGGTGCTCCGTTTCGCTATTACAATCTCAATTACGTCACAAAAGATGACGAGGGAAGACCGTTAACTTGTCATTTGTACGCGTTGTAAAAAAAAAGGGGGGGGGGGAAGAAAGAGAAGCATAACGTTTGTATCTCTCTCTCTCTCTCTCTCTCTCTCTCGAGGGCACGTGTGTAAACGCGTGGCAAACTTTACATACTCAAGAGCTGTACGTTACAGCCTTCGTAACGGCTTTGAACTGTCGCGCTCAGAGTACTTTGCATTGTGAATTAATTAAGAGGGGAAAAAGTAGAAGGAGGCGAATAATAAAACGAAGAAAAACATTGAAATATTACAGTAACATTGCTGCAATATGTCACATTCCAAATAGCTAAGTGATTTCAAATGACATTTTAATTACGTCTTATTGACATTAGAGGTGTTATATTGAGCAATTGCTTTTAATGTCTATCAGTAAAGATGTTATTACATGTTCGTGAACATAATAAAGATATATTATACAAGCGTAAGTTACAAGGATATCGTCAGAGACAATAGAGTCAGTGGTTGCCGTCCAATCGTCGAAGTTCGGCAACAAGGTTAATTGTTGAATGGGTAACTTCCGGTCAGGATAGAAACTACAACGCGAACGTATAAAATAACTTTTGTCTTTCTCTCGTATAAATAATAAAACAACTAAGAAACAATAATCTATCACTGGTCAATTTATCACAGCTATTAGTACTTTTTTGTAATGGAATATAATTGTGACATGTCACTGTAACATTACTGTTATTCGTTTTGGCGGATATTATACTGTGACATCTCAATAATATTGCAGCAATATCTATGCTATATTACATTGCAATATTGCAGTGCTATATGACACTCACGAAGCGGCCCTTCGTCAGCCGTGCGCGTCGACGTTTACAATGCCCCGATCGTCGATGGTGCTTTCAATCGCTCGGTAATCTCGCGGTTTAATCCTCCGGTTAATTATTTGAGGCTACGAACGATACCACATGCCGATACAACAGCCGACATAATGGCGCAATTAACGCGAAAATCGCCGCCCGGCGGTTGTAACGCGAAAGTCGGCCGCGGCTGAATGAAACGGTCGCGTTTCATTAGCCGGCATGCCCATTAATTGTGATTTCCTATCACCTAATTAAACGACCGAACTCTTGGCACACCACTCGGCTTCGCGTCGAGAGCCATTCTCTCCCTTCCGCTCGCGTTTCCCCATCCTCCTTCCCGTCCGTCATCCGACCGCCGTATATCTCCTTGGGTGTATTCTTGTTGGATGCCCACGCGCTGTAAGCGCTATTTTCAGCTTTTGATTGTCAAGCGCTTACAAACGCTTACACCAAATCGTTTCCTTCGGTACGCACGAGCTCTTGTGAGCGCATTAATGACGGATAAAAAGCCGACTCCAATATTATTTGCTCGGGCATCACATGCTAGACATTATATTCTTCCACAATCATATTAATATATTAAAAAGATAATAATTCATATTATAATAGCCCTAAAACATCCATGTTTTGCTCCGACAGGCCCGTAATTCATTTAATATTTAGTTTAACTGAGAAGGAGCATCCCTTCTTACGAGCAGTTTATAACTTTAACAACAACAAACTTGCCGGTTTCTAAACATATTTTCTTCCTCCAGGGTTACAAATATTGTATAAGGGTAGATTGAAAAATTTTCCGATCTGACCAAGAAAGAGCAAAGGTTCAATGAAATTTCAATACTTGTCCAATAGATGGCACTGAAAGAAACACCAAGAGCTAAGTTCGATGTCGTTCTAGGAGATTAGTTTGTTTCCGACAGCCTTTTGTGTGTCAGTTGTCAAGTTATCGCATTGTGTTCTCTTTAAACGCTGCCCTACCTCGATGGGGGGAGAAGTGTTTGCAAGCACGACGTTATGACATCACAATGACAACATTACACGTTCTGTGAGCGCTCACGATGCCAAAGGGAACGGTGAGAGCGATGCTTATAGCGGTTTAAAGCTTTCAAAGGAAACGCATCCCTCGTTCTTTCTTCTACGCGGAGCGAGTCAACGTCGTCAGGAGAGGGTCACGCGATTACGTCGCGAGATTACGATTCTCGTAAAAGTGTCCGACGCGCTTCCGCGACACCTTCTCCGCACGCGGCCACGTCCTTGGACAGACCACCACCGGGGCGGCGTCGCGTGCCTTTCTAATCGGTATTCCGCGAGAACGCGGAGGTACACACACACACACACACACACACACGGAGTAGATCTCCGTATGATCGAGTTGTGTAAAAAAAGAGAAAAACAACACTTTGAGTTCCGGTTTTTTATTTCAAATTTCGTTTCGATAAAGGGATTTTGGATAGGATTGTAAATAGTGTGTCGAAAAGCAATTTGGGAGGAGGGAATTCGAAAATTTTGTTGTGGAAAAGTGAAAAGATTGATAGAAATACGTTACGTAGAAGCGGAAAGCGACACTTCGCATCGAAAAATTGCAACGCGATAAAAACAAGAAAGAATTTCACGCATTCTCGCGCCTCGGAGAGCGTCCGTTTCTCACTTCTGCTCAATCAGGATGCACGGAGGAATTTGTGCTGAAGAAAAAACACCTCGCGCGAGAGCGATATATCGGTGTTGCGATATATTGCGAAACTGCACGACGAAACGGGAAGAGGGGGAAGGAGGGTGGCAAATTTATGGGTATTTGTAAGGAAAGCTGTTAGCTTTATGAGAGCTAATGTCAGCCAATGAGAGAGAACGTATATCGGGGAAAATACGAGGGCCGCGAGAGAGCTTACTCGATTACGGAAGAAAAGAACCGTGCTGCGCGCGGGCAGTACACGCGGGGGAAGGGATGGAGGGGGAGGATGCGCGCACCTAGTATATCCACGCTGAAACTACAGGGAGGGAGGACGATAACGTCGCGCTGTGTGCGCTGCAGTGTAATTCGCGTTAGCGCCGTAATTGCTTTCGCATCGATTGTTCTTACGGGGTCAACTCTCTCTCTCTCTCTTTCTTTCTCTCGCGCTCTATTTCTCCCCCTGCGACATAACTATATGCCATGCGCGATTCTGGTGGCCCAGAAATTCGTTCCGGAAACTTGACGCATTCGCGAGTTTCTTCGGAGTAAAACTCGGACCCCCATTGGATCTTCCTCCTCCTCCTCGCTGGGGAATGGGGATGAACACGATCGTAAATCGCGATCGAAACTCGGATCGAAGTTCCTCGAAGCGCGAATGGTATGACAAATTATCTCGAAAAGTCAATCGCGCGAAGCGGCTCTTACGAGATGCAGCAGCGGAGTGTTCGTGCGTGCGTACGTCTCCTTTTCTCGTAAGTCAGCGCAGACCGACTAGTCGTTTCACTTTCCGCACGGTTACATCGCAGCAAATTCGCAAATCGCAAGCGACGAGGGAGAGAATGAGCGGACACGCGCGCGTAACGGCGCCCGGCGGCAACGCGTACGCGAAGACATTCGGTGACAGACTGAAGCAGACCACTGAACGACGGGCGAACACCACCGATTCTCTCTCTCTCCTACACCCCGAAGAGGTGTTCGAGGAGGCACCAGCCGAGGACGACCGAGCCGCACCGAGCGCTGCCGATCCGGCTCGTTGCACTGAAAGCTCTCCGGCGCTGCAGTTGTCTATCTCTTACTTGCTCGCTCGCGGTGCATGATACTCAGTGTTTTTCTCAGATGATTTCAGATTCATCTAGATGAAGATGAGATGAAAATCCAAAAAAATTCGTCGTAGATTAGATGAAGATGATTTGAATGATCTAGATGAAAAGTAAGATAAGTAGCGCTACTTATCTAGATGATTTTGTTAGATGATATGTTTTCACGAGAGACTTTATAAATATTTATAGTAAAAATTACGCACATCATAAAATTGCATAACGATTAATTCGTCAACGTAATCGCTCTAAATTTAAGGATATAATGACTGCGTTCAGAAAATATAGCGATTAGTGTCACTGTCAAAGGTATTTTTATCCTCCCATATAATAATAATTTATTTGCAACAATCGCATCGGCTCTTACTATTTACATGTTTCTTCGAACAAATAAATAAGCAAACAACGAGATGGTAAAATATTCAGTAAAACATTCGGTCGTAAAAACGAAGTTTCATGCAATTGCAGCGAGATGAGAGAAAGAGAGAGAGAGAGAGAGCGCGTTAGAAAAGAGGTGAGAGCAAAAGTGCAGGCGAAACTGTCGCAATTGTATTAGTGTAATTATGAGGGCGGGACGGCACGTGGGCGCGGCATCTTAATTGACTTCGTTAATTTCTCGATTAACGCGACTCGGCAGCGATGGTGGCATCGGTGACGGTAGGGCTTCTCTCGCGAGAGGGCGGTAGAGAAAAAAAGACAGGGAAGAAGAGGGTCGGAAGGATGGAAATGACAATGGTAATTTTTTCGCAGAGTTCCCGGCTAGCTCGCGTCCACGCGTGAATTCAGGTATCGCGTTTCGTTTCCGCATACATCGAAAGAGGAAGTCTCGGCGCCGCCGAACAGTGGGGCGAAGTGCTTGAAAACCGGATATTACTAATCTTGGCAAATATATTTGGTAAAATTAAACGAATTCTTCTCTCACTGTGGGAACATCGGGAGAAGTCTCGTCGTGCAGAAGAAGACAAATCTACTCCTCGTTTCTGCGACGTAATTTTACACGCGGAAACACGCAGCTCTTACTGCGCGCGATATCCATCTCTTCATTTGCTTATTTATTATTCGTACCGCACGCCGATTAATTTCCGACGCCGCGCGCGGCGCTCCCGAGATTTTTCTCTTACCCGGAGCACTCAGGTTCTTACGCTCGCACCTGTTGGCGCAATTTAACAGCCATCTTGCCGTACCACGACGCGGCTTTATTGCGTATCACGAGCGTATCACGAGAAATTCATAGCGAGACTCGCGCGGAAACGACGATGACGACGGCGGCGACGACGACGAGGTATGAAATTCTTGGGGAGGAAAAGACGAGGGCGGAAGTAAATATCTCCGGGAATAAGGACGTGTGGGCGTCGCGCATGATGGAAAATAACGATCGACGCCCTAGAAAAACGTCCTTGTAAGGATATATCCCCCGCGTTCGAGAGGGAGGGAAGAAGAGAGGAGAAAGAAGAAAAAAGGGAGAGAGAGAAACTGGCGAAGTTGTCGTACGCTGATCATATTGGGGTCATTTGTTCGGACAAAAACTAATTGGCACCAAAACCCACTGAAATTTCGAATTTCCTGCTCAAAATTCCACTGACCACTACATTAAAATTTTACCCAATGGACGGAGTATCAATTCTACTGGATCTAGTAGAAATTCTACCAAGTTGGCAACACTGATCACAGGATCTTACTGAGTATCGGCCGCATTGATTACTCTTTGCCGCGTAGAACACACACACACACACACACACACCTATCCGGTCTTCGCATTTTTACGGCCGACCGTATCCTTCTTTACACGCTCTGATAATAATCTGTCTTTCCGCGGAACTGTCGGATACTCGGCGCCATCATCTCGCTCTCTCCTCTTTTACGAGCGCTTCGTTACAATTAAGGAATATTAACTGAATTCCTGGACGATGCGCGCGAAATCACCGCGCGGCTGTAACCATTACTCGAAGCGCGCGCTCCTCGACAGTCAACGCTCCGAATCTCTACCCTGACTTCACCGCGTCAACCGTTTTGCGGACCTACCGTCTCTCACTTCCTATTTCCCGTAATTTGTTGCGCAACAATTTGAAAGCTCGCGTAACACCGATAGTCCCGGAGCGAGAAGGCGCTCGAGACTCTTTATAATTCTAAACGGTTCCACACGTTAATTCGATATATCGGGGACTAAGATTCTGAATGATTTAACCCTTTGAGCCATATATTTTATTTCTCGATGGAATTTTTCGAAATGCGGTATCTAAAGTATCGTTTGGGTCGCTGATTATGAATCTGAAGTCAGAGTTTTAAAATTCCAAATTTTGGCCGATCCAATATGCTATACTAATTTTATAACGTGGACGGACGTATCGCGAGGATTATTAATTTTGCACGCGAATGCTCAGTCAAGGTCTTGATTGCGCATCGCGTCGCCCGCCCCTCTCTCTTCTTGCGAGTAACCCGCTTGGCAATTTTCGCGGAAGTAACGAAGGGAATTAACGCGCCGCTGCGTTACGTTTAACCAACGTGCGCGCGAGCGCCGTCTGGCCGACTTGTCTATTCCATTTCTATGGAAATTTCACCGTAACTCTAAAACGAGACGCTTTTACGGGGTTGTGTGGCGATCTCTCGAAATGATTTGTGAGGCATTAGGGGAAAGTACTGTGTCTTCTAGCACGTGTAAAAAGTGACTTTTACAGACAACGGGCCTAGGCAGATCATTCTGCTACGCGATAACCAAGGACACGCTTGATTCGTTGGGTTGGGAAATTTTGCCACATCCAGCTTATTTACCAGATTTAGTCCCGTCAGATTTCCGGTTCCTCCAACACTATTTAACAGATTCCCACCTCAAAACGTTCGAAGAGGTCGAAAAATGTATTATAGTATTTATTGACTCTAAACCGGCGTCCTTTTACAGAGATGGGATTCGTCATCTACCCGGAAAGATGGCAAAAATGTGTAGACGTTGCTGGAGATTACTTTCTTGATTAACATGTCGATCGGGTATGTCTCTCCCGGGGCCCAAATTCACGCTGAACCGCAGTGTAACGCATCACCAATATACGTGCTTGTAATTAATCTAATTTGTTTTTCCAGCGTAACGTTATTTGTATTAGAAGCAATTTCTTTCCTTATTTTTAATCTCTTTGCATTTCATTTTAGAACTTTGTATACATTGTTATCGACGCTTTATCAAGTTCGACTGTGACACTCCCTTGACAACTCGGTTGATACAACTGACAGCAATGAACTGAGTAAAAACTTTCCTCAGGAATCTTTCTACTTCTGCAATCGAATTTTCGTCTGCTATTCAGCGTAATTTCCAACGTGAATTCAGTCGCACGAATCGAGTTGTTTCCTCTATGTAGCTTGCACTCTTCCTCAAGCCTCACTTCAATATCGTGATTATTCAAATTTACTCAGCACTGTAACACGTTGTACTCAATGGGACTCTCTCTATCTAGCCTTGTCGAGACGCGTCCTTTTCCACCGATTCATTTCGCATTGCGCAAACGAACCTTACGTAGTTATCGTCTGAGTTGGACGACAAGCTTGCGTCCCACGGGTCTCTTCGCACGAACAGACACGCAAATACGGATGGGTACACGACGGGTACCATCCAGAGTTCATAACGGTAACCGACTGATCGACGTTCCGCCGAACGTTCGTCGCGCGATCACGCGAGATCAAGACTCGCGCACGAAGCATGTGACTATAATTTAGCGATGTGAATGAAACAATGCGAGAAAGAGAGAACATGCGTATTTGCATCCTCGATCGATTGGCAGGGGTACAAATATCGTCCCGTCGCAGATAAATGATCCCGACTCACCTTATTCGCGAGGTCCAGCATATTTCCCGTGCCGCCGGCGGCGGCCTCCACTAGCTTCTGCAGGCTGTGGGGCTCCGGCGACAAATCACGCGCACCGCTGTCGAATTCCCAGCTCTCGTGCCGTCCCGACACCGTTCCTGAAATAGAAATCGCGCGCACGACGCTCGTCTAACGCGGAAAAATGTGTGTGCAAATACAAGGTCGCACCGACGAGATTTCTGGTTGAACCGGCACGGCGCGAGTGATGTGTATATATAAATCCTTTTGATGTTCAAACCATATATATTGATATGTTCGCTATATATTAAGAAAAAAAGGGCCATATAAGAATTATCGCGCTTAATACCATCGTTAATTTAACCCTTGAACGCCACACTAGTACAGGGTGTCTCGCGCACGTTCCGTCGCGACGACATTGAGAGACGCGTCTTTTCAACCAATGCGAAGAAGAGAGATACGGTCGAACGGAAGGCGAAACCTCGCGGCGGTAAATATGCGTAACCGCGGGCTCACTCACCGAGACTGTTGTCGCTGCTCGTCGGCAGGTATTCCGGCGTGTGGGTGTGATGGGGACTGCCGCGTCGTTTGCCGGCTCTGAGCGCCTCGATTTCCGGCCGCAGCGCGAGACGCCGCCTGAGGAACTCCTGATAGGAAATGCGACCGTGCTCGTCCGCACCCAATTCCCTCATCAATTCCTCCACCGAATTCTCGAGGTTCAATTCCCGGCATACCGTCAATAGATCCTGGCTGAAAGTTCCAGAGAGACGGGAGGCGCCGTTAAAAGAGCACAAGGAATGAACGAATGCTCCTCCTCGTGATGCGTGGACGAACAATCAAGTTACTTGCCAGAGGTGTGGAATCTCTCCTCTCCTTTGCTCTATAAGGAATTCTATTCATTTATGTCATTTATCTATTTCTTCCTCGGCAGGTATGATCGGTCGATTTTCCGCATTCGCACGTTCCAATTATGGACGGTACTGGCCGGAGAGTTTCGACTACTTAACGCGAATCGCATA